AAAAAAGTGAGATTTTCATCATTTTTTCGAAAAAAATGCTTTTTTTATTTACTTTAAAAAAGAAAAGTGTACTTTTTGTATTTGACATCTATCTTCGCAAAAATACAATTTATTCTAGAAAAAAATCTATTACCAAAATGATCAGCGCAAAATTCTCTACAAACCCTGTAACTTTGAATGAATTTGAGCGTGGTCGCCGGATCGGCTGGCGATTTCCGGTGGAATGACCCTCATGTAATTCTGATTGGATAGGAGAAACGTTTTACAGCAGTTGGTAGATAAGACCCTGCTATTCTAGGAAATATGTATTGATTGCAACGTTGATCTCGGTTTCCTGTTCAAAAATGTCGAGACACATACTTTGACCGTTTTATGTCTCGACAGATTAAATTGAAGTTTCTAAAGCCTATTTACAAGCTTTAACTCATCTTTGTTTTTTCTGTTTGATAGATTGACGAATCAGAAATGTTTCGAGAAAAAACGATTTTGAGACTGCCCAAAATCTAACAAAGCAGACCGATAGCTATCATCTCACTAAATGTCATGACAGATGTTTTTATTTCTATTTTTCGATTTCTCGTGAACAGTAAGGGATCGACCGACGGATCTTTTACCGTTAGTAACTAGTTATGTGGTAAAGCTATGGCGAAAGTTTCAGCTCCTAACCAAGAATTGTTTTTGAAAAAAATCACCTCTTAGTTAAAGAATGTCGCAACATATGAAAATGACACATCTTTTGAAGAAACAAGATTTCGTTTTTCAACTGTATTAATTTCTCTCGACTGATAAATGTTTTATAAGTATTCTAAGTGCGACAAATGATTATCATGTCGGAGTTTTACTCATTTACTACTGCGTAGAAAGTCTATGGCTCATTTTACATGCGAATGAGTCATGCCAATTGATTCTGACGGTCTACAAACCTATCTATCTTTTCATTTTGTTTCAGATTTAAGTTATCATTATCGAGATGAGGCGAAAGAAAAATAACAAAAATACAATGATGTTACATATTGTCAACAAGTGCAACTAAAACGTTTGGAATCTAAAATTTTTGATAAGAAATCTTGAGAAAAAGCAGCATTGATATTGATGATGATTTTATTTCCCATGTTCGTCGCAAAATCATATTCTGAAAAAAAGCTGCGTTTTTTTCTGATAACAATAACGCTATTCTGTCACATATACATTCTAATATGCAAATAAAGTTAAGTTGACACCTACTGAATTTTAATTTTCAAAATGATTTGGCTGATACATGATAATAATATTAACGAATTTCACTGAAAATTTTAATTTTTTCAAGAAAACTAAGACCTATCATATATCGATTTTTTCGTACACATGGGAAAATACTTGATTCATGCACAACAAAGTACGCTCTATCGGATGCTATTCACTTTCATTTTTTCCGATTTTTTTCAATCAAGCCGTACAATACCAGCGAAATTCACCCGGATAAGTATCGATAATAACTAAATAGAAACATTTATGGTGGGTTAATCTTAGATAGAAGATTGCACTAGTCGAACGACGGATTTACGAGACAGTTTATTTGCGTTCGATGAGTTAGTTATGATAAGACAGAAGTTTTCCACATCAACCAGTGATCACTTAATGAACTAAATGGGAGTCTAATTAGTGATTAAGTATTTACTAGATCTAACATTGGACTATATCATAATATTGTGTATGATTTATGTCAGAGATGAAAGCACATACTCTATTATTATCAGTATGCTTGATCTCCGGAAGTTAGTTGGTATTGTCTTAAAAATTTATTTTATTTTTCAGAATTATAGTCTATAACAATCTAAAATTTTTTTCGTTCATACACAAAAAATACTGGCAATCAAATAATCATTTTTATTCGTGTTTTTTCAAAATTACTTTTTTACATATTTATGTAAATATAAAGCAAAAACTTCTATGCCCAATAAGATTTAAATTTTTAATATTTTAGCTATGTTTGATATTGTTTATAAAAGATTTTTATGTTCCGGTAAAATATCACGTTTATTCATCGTATTGAATGGTTTTGTTCGTTGATCATTATTAAGCTTTCTATCTCGATGCTTTATACATCGAAACATTTTACGTAATTCCCGACAAAATAACGATGACGCGGCTGAATAAATAAAAAAATGGCAGCAGCAATTCAAATAACGAAATGTCTGTGTTAATATGAATACAGTTTTATTTGACATAGTGGTTTGACGAATTTGCACATAAAGCCAATAGATTCTATTCACAAGAAAAAATAAACGATGATTTACTGGAAAAAATTGAGTGTCTTACGGGTATGGAAATGTCATTACCATAAAAGTAACACCAACAGTAATTAGCATAAATGTTATATTTCGATCAACATTTCCTTGCCTTTTTATTCTCTTACGTGTTGATGAATTTGTAGCAGTTCGATTATTTTTTGGTAACACTGAATGTTGCATAGATGTATCATAATGATTAGTTTTTAAACGGTGAACAATAAGAATATCAAGTATGACAAGAAAAACAAATGGTACTAGAAAAATATTTAAAATTCGATATAAAAATGAACGCTGGGCTTATCTTTTATTTTACCAATATGAGTAACTATAATTGATATAATTCCACATACTTTATATACAGTTGGTCGTAATAGTTCACATTTTCGTTGTTCCCAAGTATAATTTACTGTGAATGGCAACCATAAGGAAACAAATGTTGATACTGATGTATAGCTGATTAGGGGTGCAATAGTTCAGCTCTAGTTCTGAGCGTGGGAGCTGTTCGAAAGTTCATTTCGGTAGGAGGTGATTGTTTTAAACAGCTCCTTTCAAAAGAGCTGATCTGATCGAACAGCTCTCTCTCTCTAACGAACAGATTTGGATAGTATTTTTGGCTTAATGCCAATCAGTTCTTGAGAGAGAGAGAGCTGTTCGATCAGATCAGCTCTTTTGAAAGGAGCTGTTGAAAAGGTCCAGTTCAGGAACGGGAGCTGTTCGATCATATCAGCTCTTTTGGAACGAGCTGTTCAAATCAATCAGCTCCTACCGAAAGAACGTTCGAACAGCTTTTTCGCTCAGCTCAGCTGAACTTTTGAGCTGGAGCTGATGCACCCCTATAGCTGATGACAGTTAATAATACTGTTTTAAAATTAACATATCGTGCGTTTTTAAATGGCATACAAACAGAAAACCATCGTTCAACTGATATGCAGAGAACTGAATAACTACTTAGTGCAGTTAATAGAAGATCGAAATAGCCATGAAAATGACTAGAAAAATAAATTGTTAATATTTTATGTTTTTCCACACTTTTCGTATGGGAAAAAAATCAGCATTCTCAAAATCGATGAATTCCAGCATTACCACTATTTATGCGTTTATGTTTTAAATTGTTAGCACAGAAAGGGTACGCCGCTATTTTTCAGTAGACTAATTAATGATTTATGGAAGAAAATTCGGTTATTAAAACATTACGTACCACCAAAATACCGATTTATCCGTCAAAAATTCACCATAAAAATCAGGTAAGATTATATTAAATACTGATGTAGTTAACAAAAAAATATTACTAACTGCAAGAACTATTGCGAATATGAATACACGAAATTTAATCATTTCCCTTCGTGCAAATACTAATATTGATAAAACATTCCCAATTATACCAATAAACACGACACATGGCATCACCAGATAAATACATATATCAACGATTAAATTTTTTTCAGTATTCGTAGTAGTCTTCATTCTTATAACAATCTCATAAGATCATCAAATAAATCTAGAACAAAAAACATTAGAAACCATCAAATCAATAATGTATTTTCATTAAACGGTACGCTAGAGTTGCAATTTCCTCACATATATGACCAGTCGGCATGGTACAACTTTAGCTGTTTATCAGAAAAATGTCATTTAGTTGTATCAGTTGTAGGCTACGCGTAAGGCTAATGATCTATTGCTATATGTGAGACTTCTTTGTCGATAGGAACGAGCAATATTAAGTATTTATTCACAATCATCGAGTTCAAAGTTCAAAATATGTATATCGTATACATCGATGTCATTCTAACAAGAATTTTTCTTGTTTTTTTTCATTCTTTGTTTTCTTTATCATACGCATTTCTATCGACGCAGAGTTCTCAACTACAACTGGTAAAAAAAATATTTCTCTGATAAAAAGCTAAAGTTATAAAAAAAAGGGATATCTTTTGAAGTGCTGTATCGTCTGGTCATGCCCATATTTCTACATTTCTAATTTTAATTACGACGTCAAAGAGTCAACGATGAGTTAAAATTACAATATCAAAACTTATGAAATACCTTTTGTATTTTCATTGTGCAAATAAACAGTAGCTGACTATCGTTTGTTCTAATATTTATATTGTCTACGCAATCTTGTCTGAGCTTGATAAAATTCTCCTAAATATTTTCATAAAGCAGAAAGATAAGCAAACAAAAATTCGTTTTTATCTCTTTTTATTTGAAAAACTAAAAAGTAAATTATCTATATACTTTGTTATAACTAATCGTTTTAATCATATTATTATTCTGTAAAATATGCGATTTATCTAATAGTGAAGCAGTTTTTTGAAACAGATGGTACAACATTTTCAGCGAAATGATATCCTATATCGTAATCGTGACTCTTCGATTGTCAAAATGAATCAATCGATAGATTTATATTTTTACTCTTTCACTTTTTATACTGACATTCAAACAATCATCATTAGTACCGCATTTTTATGATCGTTAACAAACTTTTCTTAAATATCAATAGCATAGTATGAAACAGCCATTAATCTGACGATGGAGTACGACTGTATTCTTGTTCGAAAGTTTTGATATTATTTAGTTTTAATTTACTGTCAGCAACTTCGTAAAGTGGATTTGATCAATTGCAAAATTATTTTTGCGTCTTCAAATGAGATTTCAAATTGACTGTTCAGAGAGAAAGCTTCTTCAAGCAATCATACTATAAAAGAAAGCATTTTTGATAAAGCGCTTCGTTATTCAATGAAAACAAATTGTTTTTCTTGTAATATTGATCAAGAGTACACAGAATTGAAAATAAGCAGTGTCCTTGGCTCTATTCGAACAAAAAACAGCGTTTTTATCGCATTCTTATCAATCAGGTGCTTTTGATTCTCATGTTCCGTTCATTTCTTAACATTCACATTAACGAAGAAGAGAGAAATGGCGCATCATGATTCTAACCGCAAGGAGACTACGAAGCCTGAAACAAGTAATAGTGACTCTCGCAAAGCCGACAATAATGAACTCGATAACGATGATAGACAGCCATCACGAACCAATTTGGTTCATCGACTCAGTGTGACGCTTGACGATGTACTTGCTAACAATTTAGGTCACGATCAAGATCAACAGGCTAGAAGAGTAATTGAGCGTAGAAAAACGTTCACTGTTCATTATCTCAAGGAGCTGTTCGAAAATGAGTTTGGAGCGAGATGGGTCGATTATGGGCAAACAACGGCATCAATTGTCAGGTAACAAAGAGAAGAAACTTGAAATAGATGATTATGTCAGATTCACCCAGTTGCAAGCTGAAAATGACGACTATTATTTTGAAAGCACGAAAATGTGACATTTCCCAAAACTGGTGAAGATATCTGTCAGACCATCATGCATATTTTTTTCTTATACTGTTGGAGATTTGTGCGAGTGATTCGAGGTTTGAAAAGAAGGGATCAGCATAAAACGAATTTTACAAAGTATTGAAGTTGAAGTTAAACTAAAGTCCCTTTAGAAAATCTAAAATATGCTCAAAGAGAATGAAAGCATGTATCAAATTATTTCTTAATCTTCTCTTCGTAGATTCAACATGAATAATCTGAAAATGTATGATAATAACTTTGATCATTCATAGTAAAAATATCCTTACTATAGCGAGGAAGGCCATCGTTGCGTCTCTGATGTTTTTATTTGTGATAAAGATTGTTCAGTTACGTATGATCTGTAATTTTTTCAATTCATAATTCAAAACAAATGATTGTACGTTTATTTGAACATTTATTCATTGAAATAAAAATCTAGCACAGTTATGTGGGTACACTTCTCTGATATCACGCCCTACACCCACACCCTCAAGGATTTGAATATAAATTAGAAAACTATAAACCGGCTTCTACACTATCACTTCTGATTATATCATTATTTAATTTCACAGACAATTCTGCGACGAAATTCCAGTGACCGATGATGCTCCATTCTACATTGTCAATCTATCTCACTATGCTCGCTAGTATCTCCAGTGACTTCACTTTCTGGGTCGAATACATCCATTCTACGCTGTCAAATGTAATCCGAACGGATTCATAGTTCGAATTATAGCCGAAATGGGCGGTGGTTTTGATTGTGCTTCAGCTGAAGAACTCTATCTTGTGCGTGCAACATGTGGCGTCGATTTTGACTATGCAACACGTATCATTTTTGCCCATCCGTGTAAGAGTGTCTCTCATATAAAACAATTTCGCGAGGCTGGCGTACAAATGACGGTGGTGGATAATGAAGATGAGCTCAAAAAATTAAAGGAACACTGGCCTGAAGCGAAAGTGAGTCGTTTTTCGACTTCTTTTGATCTAGTTGACAATGAAAGCAGGCCTTGCACGACAGTATGAAAAAAAACGGTATATATTTGACGTATTCTGTTGATTTGGAGATCAAATTTCTTGAGTTTTCTCTTTCATGTCAGTTTGAAAACTATTAGGAAAACTCAACAATATGTAGCATTACCTCAGTTGTTGGATTCGATTTAGATTTTAAAGAAGCTCAATGGTGACAGCTCAAACTCTTAGAAAGCTCTATCTTCCATCTATAACTTTGTAGAATCCGATAAAAACAATCTGTAATCTAGTCAAACCACATTTTTAGATGTTTTCAGTTTGAAGATCAATAATTAGTGTCTTTTGTTCGTTCGACCCGCAGTGAAAAGGAACTCGTCTTTAGTATTAAGCATCACTAATTTCGAAATCATGTGCTATGTTCGCCCGGTGTCTTATAAATCAGCAGATATATTATTCACACTGGACGTTGATGATTACTTATAAGAGCTAGACTGTAACTCGAATGAGGCTTGCTTAGATAAGATTCATATAGAGGAAACTGCTTACCTGTGTCGCATGTTTGTTTACATTGCCGTCTATAATAAAAGCTTTATCTCATAATCGCAACCAACTTGAGCTCTGCGAATAGTACAGACGAATCAACTCAATTATCTTAATTTCAACACCAACATATGTTTACGCTCTAACATTTTTTTTCTATGTTCACAATCTCCTGAGAACAATGGATCCTTCTCATTGGAAATTCCTAGCTACATGAATTTGTTTCTTCAAAGGTTCTTCTTCGTCTGAAACCCGACGATAAAGGTTCTCTTAGTCCGTTCTCAACGAAATTTGGTGCCAACGAACTTGAATGCATTACTCTACTAAGACTGGCTCGTCAATTAGGCGTTCAACTCGTTGGCTGCTCGTTTCACGTCGGAAGTCGATGTCTTGATGCACAAATCTACATGCAGTCTCTTCGACAAGCTAGACGTCTTTTTGATATTGCTGGTCGAGATGAATTTGGTTTTGACTTCAAAGTATTGGATATCGGTGGCGGTTTTTCAGGTCACAACTGGGATAAACCGAGCTTTCCTGAAGTGGCCAAGTTGATCAACAAGAAGTTGGACAAGCTTTTTCCTGAATCAGAAGGTAAATAAATAATAACAGATTTATTGAATATGACTAAACATTAGTGTCTAACTTGAAACTGGAATTCAATTGAATTCAAGTTTCAAATTTAACATCTATGCAGATCCAACAAAGCATGGAATATCTAAGAAATTTATTAAAATCAGATTAGACATGAGAAAGAATCATACATAACGAAACATTGTAGTAACTTTTATTCATATTTTTACTTTTATGATAGGTATCACTCTCATGTCGGAGCCTGGTCGTTATTTTGCATCTGGTGGTATGACACTGGTCGTTCGAATCATTGCTCGTCGTATTCACAATCAGGATTAGAAATCTCAAGAAGAAGTAATCAAAGTTGAACGTTCATTCTCTTTGCCAACAAATTCACTAGTACAAGTAGCGAATACTGATCAAAGTACAGTGTCTGAACAGGTGCTCATTGAATGTGCTGAAAATATATACTATATCAATGATGGTATCTATGGAACGTTCAATGCTATCATTTTCGACCATAAAGTGTTCACTGTGCACTATCTCAAAATAGGAGAACAAGAAAACAATCCTGAGCAGCATAAATCGGTGATTTTTGGACCAACGTGCGACTCTATTGATTGTATTGCTCATTCAATTGATCTACCGTTGTTGGACATTGGTGACGTGCTGTGGTTTCCAGATGTAGGTGCATATACCAGTGCATGTGCATCGGATTTTAATGGGTTTAAAACAAAAAATACATTTTTATTTGGAAGGGTTAGATGTTGTGTATTAAAAATAAATAAACTAGCTATTGTCTTAAAATAGACTTGAGTGTGAGAATCGATACTTATACGTGCAGAGCTCAATTACAACTATAAATCAGTCTTTATATGAGAAAATCAAAGGTGCATCCTCGTCTTCAATAAAATTACATGGAATGAACTGAACTCATTTAAGTACTAATCACAATTAAGGAAATCGATATTCAACAATACAGTGTGGGTGTGGGTGTTTTCAGGAGAATATCGACACTCTAATTGAAGCGGTGGTTTTGTTTTATCATTTTTCTCAGCTCCGAAGCACCTATTTTGTTTTTCTAACCCTCGAATTATCCATTTTATTGTTTTTGTTCACAAATTTCTGCTAATTGCTCTTCTACAACTACTTCAATTAACGTTTGTTCAACTGTTTTACTAACTAAAATTTTAACAGTTGGTTTTTAAGATCAAAATCCAATAACTAAAATAGTTTCATAATTATATTTACATTGTCTGGTTCAATTTAAGTAGTAATCTCGGTGTTAGTTGATCGTAGACTGAGTCAAGGTAAGTTTGGTAAATCAAAAACTTTAGATGCTTAAAATAGCAACATGAACTTCTTCAATTCGATCATTATAGTAAAAAACAATTTATTCTAGAGAAATTGTTAAACTGAAAAGTTTGTGGTATTTACAGGAAGATTTTATTTTGATATAGCTCGTAATACAAGAAAAACGAACATAAATTACTAAAATAATAAAAAATTAACTTAGATATGCAACTCCAAAGCCCCTAACAAATCGTTTTGATTTAACATCATAAATAAGGTACATTGCCATTTGCTCTTTTTTCCAACCCTAAGGAGTTCTTTCTAATGCATTGACAATATCATCTCGTTTCGTCTTCACTGAAAAAGATGGTATTCTAAGTTCTCTCTGAATAAATTTTGCAGTTGGATGAGTTTTAAAAACTATTTGATCAATTGATTAGTGAATCAAGCGACCTGGCAATGCACAAATACCATTAGCTTATTGATTTTATAGAATTTCTACGCGTAGAAACAATGAAATTAAGCATTAATAATTAGATTTTAAAAAAATGAAAAATATAGTGATATATCAGTAGTAATCATAATGGTGACAAGTAAAAGAAAGAACCAAGTCATTATTTCATACATTTCCTATGGCGATGAAAGCTTTCCGAAAACTAACTGAAAACAAAGTCTATAGAAAATGTTTATGTAACATTCATAAGTATTATATATCAAAGTACGTGAAGTCAAAGGGTGTAAATGTATTTTAAATTTAACACAGAGAAAACTCACCCACGCGGGTTGTATATTTGTTCGAAATATGATATCGAACGATCAGTTTAGAATGATAAAATTGAAAAGAATTTGTTTTTCTCTTGCTTTTGATCCAGCCCGTATATCAAAACAAATATCGTTCATCGACATCGAAAGTCGATTCATTGGGTCGTAGACTGACAATGTTGAGTAGAAAAAAATGTGGACAGACAGACACAGGTGAATTACGATTTCTGGACTCTATCCTCTCAGTCGAGGGGTTAGAAAAAGCATCATTAGTAGTCTTTGATAGTATATGATTAGAAAGAAAACATAGTTCACAGGAGATAGTGTATCAATAAAAAGAAAAGTTTGAAACAACTTTTAAGTTTATGCTTTAGTAGAAGATACATAAGGTGGCGGTGCTTGACGGATACCAGGATTCTGAAATGTTGGTGGTAAAAGTATTACAGGTGCTCCTGTATGTCGTCGTTGTCTTTTGCACAAATAGTGACATAATGCGATTAAAAAGATACATCCGAAAATACTACCGGCAATGACGCCGATTAGTCCAGCAAGTGTCAAATTTCCCCAATAATAATAACTATTGCAATAAGCGTAGGAACCACAAGTTGATCTGGCTAGAGAAAAAAATAAGATCTTCCAATGATAAGATGAAAATATATTGAAAACAATACTTACTCGGACAACAAAATCTAAGAGTGCCTGAGCCACAACATTATTGAGCTAGAGAGAGAGAGAGAGAGAGAGATAAATGTAGAGAAACTTGAATAGAGACTATAGCTTCTTATGAGCTGGGACGGAACAATAGAAAAGTTGTCCTTCAGGATGAAGTCTAAGAAATCGTCTTATCCCAGTTTTCTAGTTCTAAAATCTTTTTTTGGTTTTGTGTCATCTGCTTGAATCTATGTTTGTAAGTTTTACTAAAAGATCTGTAAAAAGTCAGTATTTTGATAATGTATGGTAAGTTTGTAAATTTTTCTGAAGAGAAAGTACCCCAGCGAATAGGTTTTTTTTGTAGAAAATAAGGCTTCCTGAGACGAAGATCTTATCCTCTTTCATCCAATTAGACGTACAATTACGTCTATTTGATTTCAGTTTATGTTTAAAAAAAAATGTAGATGATCTCAAACTGAAATTGAAATCTTAAAAGTCTTTAGAATTATTCATGACTTTATATTCGGTAAAGAATCATTTTAGAAATCCCACGACGCCTCCGTCAATAAAGAAGAGGGGTTTATATACCATAGATGGATGAATTATAGTAAAAGTCAATTTTAAAGAGATCTCATTCTATTAAACTTCGTCTTCCCATCAATAAAAATTAGGATTCCATAGAGGATTTAGTCTTTAACTGTTGCAGATCATAGATCAACTCAAATAGTGAAAAAAAAATGTCGAATCAAGTCCAGCTGTGAGTAACGTTTTTTCTTTGAATTCGAGTCATTGTTAGTTAGACCCAAATTGAAAAATAATTTTGCGTTATCAGCTCTCAACAAAAAAGAAATAAAGTCTTCAGAAAATAATATTTACAACAAACCTGGGCCGCCTTTATAAGCTGTACTACAGCCAATATTATAATTACAACAACTGGTACAATCAGATGAAACACTCGATAGAGAAAATATGAAAATTGATACAATGGCGAGAGAAGTTAGAGACGACATGGTGACTTTTGATATTTTTGTCGATTGAAATAAAAGAAGGTATAGGCGGTGTTTATTATGCTTTTTACTGTCTTTATGTAGGTGCCGTATTATCAGTTTTCTTTATTAATGTTTAAAAAAAGATAAGTAGACAGTGATGTTATCTTGATTTTCATCTTGACTGTGCAAGATTTAAATGACGATGTCATAGAAAACGGAGTCATCCTCTTGCCTGTAAACATAAAGAGACGCATAAGACAAATATTTAGCCATCTTCACTTTTCCCTATTCATGACTTTTTTTATGCAGAACTTCATGAGAAATCGCTTAATAATAAAATAGAGCTGCTTTTGAAGAATATATATCATATTTCTTCAAGTGAATACTGTTTGCTTTCTTCCTACATAATTGAAAAACAGGCGTTGGTGTGCATATTCCTTGGATCAGTCCTCACCAACACCCACTCCATAACAATGTACAAATCTGCATTTCGTAATGAATGCCATTGATCACGATGCACCAATCATCGTCGGTGCGCATCGATTATCTTTAGATTTTAGACAAATGATGACTAAAAATATCCATTCAAATGCAACTATTATTTTAGAGACTGTAGATGTATGAACATAACTTAGAAGAATCATCCATGTTAAACGGTGTTGACCAAAACTAAATCATTACGAATATTTCGTTTTGAATATTGGACAAATTTATAGATATTGATTTTACAGTGTATTATGAAAGTCAATTAATTATTCAATGAGCTACTCATATGACATCTGAAAATTGAAGAAAAGCTAACTCATTAGTAACATACAACTCAAATGTATTTTTCTTCGATTGAATTTGTTTTGTTATTTTCGAAACATTCTAGCAAATAAAAATGGGAAAATACTAGCATAATTTGAGTCATTATACTGTTTTTCATGACGAACATTACGATACTTACACTGAATATTTATAAATAGATAAAATTTGCAAATAATCATATTCTGATATCTAATCATAAACACAAATCAGTTCGAATGGATATCAATAGAGGCTCCTCTATAAATCATACAAATTTAGTACTAAAATAAGGTAAAGCTGTTTGTAACAGATGAACTCAATAATGTTATTTGATCAGACGAGTCGAAATTCAATCTTTTCAACTCGGATGGCCAAGTTATGGTCTGGGGAACATCCCATGAAGAATTCGACTAAAAATATACAATTTCTAAAGTCAAGTACAGCAGCGCTTTACTCGTAATTTCAGACTGTTTCACCCATCATGAAGTTGGAAAACGCTCACTCTCACCCCTGACCCCAAATCTCTTAAAATATTATTCCATCAAAGAGACACGTTAGAACAGGTAATGTGAGATATATATCCGATAGACTCTTTTAGTCCAGAAGTACAGTAGTTGGGACATGAGACGTTTCTTTGAGGAAAATCCCTGAAAATCACGTGTATTTTAGGCATGATAAGCGATCATTTCTGCTTTTCTTCGCATTCATCGAATTCCAGTAACTTCATAATTTCCATGCATTCACGTATCTGTTGTTGATCAGGATGGTTGGCAGAAAGGGACTGCTGTTGGGCCTGCAGAAGTGTCCGCATGGAAGACAGTGCTTGTGAGTACTCTCCAGTGTGATTGTAGGTGGTAGAATAGTCAGGAGGATTTCTAGGAATATTTTTCTCCTCGGTGGAGATAGCATTTTCAGCAAATGCGAATGCTTCTAAAAAGTTTCCCAACGCTTCATGAACACTAGCAAGATTAGCGCGTAATGTAGCGAGATCAGGGTGATTTTTGGGAAGAGTCTTCTCCCATATTGAAAGTGCTTTTTCGTAGAAGGACTGCGCTTTTGAATAATCTCTCATTTTTTCCAACGTACAGCCGATATTATTGTAAGTGACAGCCAAGTCCGGATGGTTTTTAGGAAGATTTTTCTCTCCAACAGAGAGTGCTTTCTCATAGAATTGTAGTGCTTTTGGGTACTCTTTCATTCCATGATACACAGAACCTATGTTATTGTAAGAAGCCGTTAAGTCTATTTGATGTTCAGGAAGAAGCATCTCCCAGATGGATAATGCTTTTTGATGGAATAGCAATGCATTCGAATAATCTTTCATTTTTTCATATGTCGAGCCCATGTTGTTGTAGGTGACAGCCAGATCGGAATTATTTTCAGTTGAAATACTCTCTCGGATCGAAAGTGACTTTTCAAAATTTCTAATAGCCTCCAAGTAATTATTTTTATAGGTTTGCATGGCTCCTAAATGATCATAATAGAATGCTGCATCATTTTGTGTTGTTGCTTGTTGTACCAAAGTATGATAGAGTTCTTCTGCTTTATCAAATTTTCCCACTTTGAATAATAGGTTTCCTAGTCGTTCCCATCCTGTGCCACCTTTCAGATTTTCCTCGAATAGATCAGTGATGACCTTCAATTCTTTATCATCATCCGATGTTAATTTCAGACATACTTCAAAGAGTCTTTCATTGTTATCAAGCTTCTTGATATCTCCTATGCGGAATACTGTGTGCATTGAAAAGAGAATTTCAGCTTCCTCTTCGAAATAACTTTCATTTGAAATATCAGCGAATGGTGTTGAGGTTACACTAGGATCAATCGTCATGACGAAGAGAATACCGACGTTCTCATCGTTTTGTATAATAGTTTCAGCGAACATAAAAGAAGCTCCTCTTTGTTTGCTGGTAGAGAGAAAACAGTTAAATGATAAAAGACCACCCTCAGCTTTTTTAAGTTTTTCGAAATCACGATAGGAAAGCCCTTGTCCACGATAGAGAAGCAATGATTGTCCATGATACTGCCCAAACTGTTCTTGATAAAGACGTTCGATCTGTCGATGAAGATCCCGAATGAAAAAGCCCATATTCATAAGCACATCTGCTTACAATAATCGCAGACATCGATTGAGAGGCCCGTAGATAAAAGGGAATCGAGTATACCAATAGAGAGCCTGGTCTGAACGATAACCACGTTCGAATTCATCAATAACACATAGTGCACTGGCATTATGTCTAAATTTATCGCGACGAAAGGCCACAAAGTCATCAACAGATTGTCTACTATGTTCCATTTGAACTAGAGTATTCTTGAATAGTTGAGTATACATGAAAGACGGATCCAGTTCATCGATATTATGGGTGGATCCACTCTACATTATGGGCATGAAGCTGATTGGTATCGAATTTTGATTATATTGTTTATTAACTCTCTGAATCGCTTCAAAGACAGATGTAACGGAACTATATTGTCCCTTGATTTTTGGCCATTCTTTGATCCATTGCTCACTGGGTGCTTGAATGTCACCTAAAAGATAAATTGTATCGACTTGAATCATAGAATGAATTTGAGGAATCATATCTTGTCCAAAAGCATTCGATACAACGACAATAGCTTTTTCGTTGGGGACATCTGCGAGGAAACGTACGCACTGATCAATCTGTTCGAAGAAAGATACACGACGAATCAGTTTGTATAATTCCTTCAAAATGTGACGAAAGTCGCTTTCGTTTTCTGCGATGGTGCTATTGACCCAGACTAGTTGAGTCTTTTCCACGACACTTTCTGCGAATACATCGGGGACTGGATGCTGTTTGTTTGTATTTTTTGTAGAATTGGCCATGTTATGTTGTAGCGTCGTCGTAATGTTTAGATCATTGGTATCAGATACTGATAACTATGTAATGCACTAAAAGTAACAATAAGGGTTTTTTATTATGCAACATATAGAAAAACCTTATATGCGCTCTTTTAGATGTCATATATTAGGGAATAACACCATTGAAAAGCTTTTCAGATACGTCAGTATTCTATATTATTCGAAATTGTTTATAGTACAGCTCTGTATTTTCAATGTCAAAACAATGTTAGATATTGTCTATGTCAACAGTTATTAGGAATCAGACATGATCAACAATTCATTGTCAAAAAGAAAACTGAATTGAAACAAGCTGCACAGCAGCCTATACGATGTTGTTACTATTTTCAGATTTTTTCGTACTGCTCAGCATCATACTTTTTTCATTTTTTCTCTCGATCAAGGACATGAATTCACTAAAGTGCACACTGTTATTGCTTTTAATGAAAACATTTTGCACCAATGGATGCCATTGAGAACGGATACATGAACAACAAAGCACTTGTAATGATACTTTTTTCTTTCTAATCAGAAATGCTCTTTGAGTGTGTGAGTTAAAATAGACCCACGTCGACACTCACACTCCTATCCATACCCACATCCTATATATATATCACATGTAACACACATTTGTACTGATGAGAAAGAAAAAATTAAAATGAGCAGAAAATATGATAAAACAAAGTAAGAACGAAAGAAATAAATAAATAAAAGGACAAGCCATAGATAAAACTATCATTGCTTAACTTCAGTAACACAAAGAAAGAGCAGCTACACAATTCTGAAGGTTTGCATCACAAAGTTTATTTCTCTTCATGTTGTAAACTCTCATAATCAGTCATTCCGTATTTTTGCATTACGTTGGCGTTTCCATCTTGGAGATTGTAAGCACTGACCGTGAGTAAATTAAATAATGTGATAGCTTTTATTCATAAAGCTACTAAAAATTATGAGTGTAAAGCTTTTGAAAAAAGGAAGCTTATTCTGCAAACAATGTTTTTACATTTAGATACTTCTCTTTTTGAGAATCGAAAGACATTGAAAATCATACGAAAGAACTCATATGAATCTTCTAAATAGTCACTTTATAAATCGCCAACTAGAGAATTTCTGAGATGTGGATATGAGTGTCAATTTGACTGGTAAGAAGATCCATCCGCCCCCTACGCATCCTCAAATTTTACTAATGGAAAAAGAAAAACACGAATATCTTCAATAATGTTGAGATGAGCTCAGTTTTTATTTCAAGAAACAATCCATGTGTAACCTTATTGACACGTAAAATACGATATCATTGAAGAAATCACATATACCCTAAGAAACAATCGTAGATATGCCGAATGTATGCATTCGATACCGTAATGATTAGATTGATAATAATAAATTATGAAAATAAATTTAAAAATAATGGCATGAGACTTGTGCATATCAGCTCCGAAGACACCAAGTTAGCGATGAGACAGTGAGTTACTAAGATCACGATAGAATCAAATAATCATACAAACAGCAATTATTTTTAATTAATCTGATCAAGATAGATACATTCATTTTCAGAAGCCAATCATAAGCAAACGATAACTACAACAAGAACAGAATCGGCAAAAAAAACAGAAGTTGAATAAGAGATCAAAAACTTATGCGTGTTTTTCCTCAACAACAAATCTCTTCAGCAAATCAGTCAACGATTCAACATGTTGCATCATTGGATACATCTAATCCGTCTGCTCAACCACAAAGTGAGTAATTTTAATGATACGCCAAATGCGATTCCTAAAAAGGAACCCAAGTTAAAAGAAAAGTAGAAGTAAAATAAGATGGACACTTTGAGCTTCGCTTCGAGAAAAATAGTTGTGTCGAATTTTGCATCTACACTTGTTGATAATTGTTCGTCTAAGTATAGCCACTTCTGTTTATTTAATAATAAATATCTCTGAAGTATCAAATCAGTTCCTGGCCTATCTTATAAATTCCGACTAATGAATCATGTCGAAATTGAATCAGGTGTCCATTATTGAGAGCGAGCAAGAACTGTGTTGCTGTGAATTGCACCTGGGATCGAAATTCATTACCTTAATTTAATGACAGAGATCATTTACTCAAAGCAGTGATGCGACTACCTTATGCAATTTCAGACATGAAGTACGATTGATTGTAATTGTGATTCATTATCTGTAATTTTCAATTAGTTGTTATGTGTCTCCTATGTATTTAAGGTTGATTTCAATATTTATTCTCATAATTACGAATAGATCTTTAATATTAAAAAAGATTCAAATATTGCACTTCTTTTACTACAGATACTTTATTAGAGATGGGATGAAATCAGATTAACTACATTTTTATCGACATACAGCTGTATAGTTTGTTCTCAACGCAACAATCCTATAACTTCGTGTTAAGATATTTCAATGATACAATTGATTGAACTGAATTTTAACATGGATATCCAATATAGAAATTTGGAAATTTTCCGTTGAAATAAGCATATAGATTTTAGTCTGTGAATATTAAACATTGGGGAATAGGCGACGAATTAATTTAACTTGATTTTATAGTTAGATCGTACCAAAAGTAATAAGATTTTCATGCGTACACCAAAAACCTAAAGTGTATACTAGTTAAGGTTTCTCATGTTGTGAACAATAACTTAGCAAAAGTTATTAGCAGGCAAATTCTAAGTCAGCGTTTTTTTCTATGCATAATTTGATACTTTACTCAGTAATGAGGCCGATGTTTTAATAACCAATATATATATATATATATATATACGTATATATATAGAATCATTCTGTTTCTTATATACCGAGTTCATTTTCCTATCCAGAAACTTCAGTTCGAATCTTATCTTTGTTCGAAGCGTTAATTCTTAGATTCGATTTCATCAAAAATTATTATCTTAAGAATGTATCTTGAATGAAACGATACATTTAATTTGCTCCTGATATTAAAGAGCATAGAGAATCATGCAATGATATTGGATTGTAATATAATAGTGGAACAGATGATGACCTCATATTTGATGCTACTGGGTAGATGTAAATATGGATCTTCTTCTCGTGATCACCTATACCTACTTGCGTGTAGTCTGTCTTTGTTAATAAACAGGTTACAGCAAACAATATAGTTCAAATCTATCACACCACAGTCAATATATTCTAGGGGGCAAACGAGAACCATGTCGTTTCGATTGGGTAGAATCTCCATCGAATAAATGGATACATTTAGCACTTTGGTGGTGGATTCAACCCATTCTTTCATTAGGAAATAGACGCTCACTTATTGACGACGACTTTAGCGATATTTCCATGAATGACAAGTGTTCTGTTTTATTAATCAAAGCCGATTACGATATTTCTAAATGGCCAGGTACATGGAATGTTATCAGACAAACATTTATGAAAGATTTCTTTGAAACCATGGCGACCATATTAGTATATACTGCTACACGTATTGCGCAGCCACTACTCATTCGTGAACTCATTGTCTACATTAGTAATGCATCAAATCTACCGACTTATATTGGTTATGTATCAGCTGTTGGTCTAGGTATTATTTCTATTGTCCAAGCCATTATTTATCAACAAACATTTTTTCAGAATCAACGAGTAGGAATTCGGATTCGCAATACATTAAGCTGTGCAATTTATCAACGTTTAATGAAGATTAATCAAGGGGGAAATAGCGGACTCCAGGACTCCAGGACTCCATTGGACTCCATTGGACTCCATTGGACTCCAATGGACTTCAAATGGACTCCAGTCTTCTCTGGAGTTCAG